CCCGGATGCTATTTTTAGCACAAAAAGGAGGACATGTCCGGGTAAATCCGGAAGAATGGTAACCCTATCTTAACCTCTGAGGATAGGACAAGAAGCAATGAGTTTAAATTGCAGCAAAGGAGGTTTAGGCTGGACATTGGGAAAAACTTACAACTGTCAGGGTGGTAAAGCGCTGGAATAAATTGCCTACGGCGGTTGTAGAATCTCCATCATTGGAGATTTTTAAGAGCAGGTTGGACAAACACCTGTCAGGAATGGTCTACTTATTCCTGCCATGAGTGCAGGGGACTGGATTAGATGACCTCTCGAGGTTCCTTCCAGTTCTATGATTCTAGTCCCAGCTTCTGACAGAGGCTTAGTGACATGTGGAGCATGGGGTTGCATCCCTGACTGTTTTGACTAATAGCCATTGCTGGACCTGCCCTCCATGAATTTACCTAGTTCTTTTGTGAACCCAGCTATATTTTATAAATTCTTTATACTCTTGCCCTAGAATGGGCCCCTCCTTGATGGAGCTAAGGCTCTTTGAGGAATAAACCGTCACTGTGGCTGCTTTTCTCATCCGGGTTTTGTGGCTTCAGCATCTCTGGGGCTGTGGAATGAAATGGGCTGAAAAGATAAATCGTTACTGTATTGAAAAACAGGGATTCCCTGTGCTCTGAGCACGTGAGATTATTGAAGATGAAAGAACAAAGGATCTAATTTACAATTCACCATTGTTGCTGTTTAGTTATTTCTGCACCTTTCTGGGCCTGCACAGTGAACGTGTCACTTCCATTTTTATCACTGCTGCACTAGCCCCTGTTGTATTGTTTAAATTTAATGTGTAATTCCACCAGAATGCTGCAGGCTAACCGGCTACCTGGTTGGTGGGATTAAAGGTGGTTTTAGATGCTAACGTATCTGCGGTTGCATCCTGTCCAGAGTGATTAATTCAGTTGATCCTTTCATGTTTCTGATCGGCTCCTTGTCTTTCAAATCCCCAGCAGTAAATTTTCCCGTGACACCCTGTACGAAGCAGTGCTGGAGATCCTACAAGGGACTCAAGTGAAACCACGCAAGTAAGAACTCTCCTCTGTGCTGTGGGTAGCGCCCTTCCCCAAATGCCAACTCCATGACTGGAAATCTCTGGTGAAGAGAGAGAGGGATTTGTGGCAGAGTATCCATGCTCTGCTAAATATCATCACAGCTTTTCCTATGCATATTGATATTCATCTTGTTTTACTGGCTTCTTAAATTCTAACTTTGGGTGAATCTGCAGTTACTTGAAGCTTCTTTTGTTTGTTCTGTTCTTCAGGTTTGCAGAAACTGTGGAGCTGCTGATCAGCCTGAAAAACTATGACCCGCAGAAGGACAAACATTTCTGGCACAGTCAGGCTTGGCACCTCTCTGATTCCACCCAGTCTTTGGCCTGCATCCTTCTCCCTTCCGGGCACTTTGAATGTACATGTGGTTGGCAACACGTTGACTGCTTGATACAATGGCAGGACGGTGCAGTGCTGAATTGCCAGGTAGTTCAGACACCCCCTCCACACACACCCGTCTCCAAGTGGTATGGCTGGACAGACCCCTATCCTGGGTCTTAAAATGTGAGCAGAGATGTGATGAGGCTCCTGTGCTGATCCCTCTGACCAGTTGGAGAAGCCAGATTAGAGGCAGGTGGATGAAGATTCACAGGTGATTGTTGTAAGGTTTCTGGGCTATAGCTCTGCATGCTCCCTCAAGGTGTGTAGTGCTGACAGTGCAGAAGGACAGTGTGGGGGTGTCATCTTCCCTTCCTGACAGGCTCAAGTCCTTCCTGTGTCCTAAATTCTCAGCCTGTGTGCTGGGGGTCGAGCAACACTGATGAGGCCAAAGCAGTCAAATATCCCTCATGTGGACATCAAGGCTCTGAAGAAACTCAAGAACAAGAAGCTAGTGAAAAAGGTGAGTAGAACTATGCTGCCAATATGCCTGTAATTTGTGTGGATAGAGGTTACCTGGAAATACCAGGTAATATAACACAGACAGTGGGCTGGTATAAACTCCAAGAGATGGGGGAGAAATGCTACTGTTAAAATGCGATATAATCTTCCCTTGTGGCAAGTTTCTGTCTCCTGAAGGTGTCAGACTTTACATACACACTACAGTATCCAACATGACCACTGCAGAAAATTCCTGTAGGAGTAATTGACTCCTACTCACTACATTGTTACTAACAAATTTATAAATTTGTTAGTCTCTAAGGTGCCACAAGTACTCCTGTTCTTCTTTTTGCGGATACAGACTAACACGGCTGTTACTCTGAAACTACATTGTTAGCGAGGAATTGTCCAAGGATCCTAGATCTAAAATGTGGTTCTCTAAACAAGAAAGCATAGCTTTCTCAATTACTTTTGTAATCAAGATGAATTATTTCTTTAACATTAAGTCATGGTGTATATCCCACCATTGAGGAAAAGCTGCTAACGTGACCAGCCTTTGTAAATCCTAGGTGCACTGACACTGGAAGAGAGCTACCCTGTTTACTCGGATTCCTTGGAAATTCAGTCTTGTAGCAGTTGCTTCCCTCAACTCCAGTATGGGGTACCAAAGAGATTTTTGGGGTGCAAGTGGCTGAGCAATGCTAGAGGAGAAATTTACCTACTTGGCAATTTCAAGTTAGCAACTTATCTGACAGGGTAGTAAGGAATTGAATTGCAAGGGTATGATTTATTATGTCATGCTGCTGGGCAATGTGACTAGTTAGCTTGACCAGTGCTGCTTTTGCAAAGCACTTACAACAGATTTGGTTTGCTTGAGTTCTGTTGCCTTAAGTCTTGTCTATATTACAATTAGCCAGTTGAGTAGTTGCATCACAGTGAACTCCTAAGTGTAGCTAAATCCCAGTGTGGATAAGACCTCAGCAACAGCCCTCAATGGTTAATATTACCTCACCTACCCTGTGTGTCTCTCTTTTACCAACAGAAGTTGGTCCAATAAGACAAGTTTTTGAGCTCAACAGAGTCTTCAGGTCTGGGCTTGTGGAGCTCAAAAGCTTGTCTTTCACCAGCAGAAGTTGGTCCAATAAAAGATAATACCTCTCCCATATCCTGGGACCCACATGGTTACAACACCGCAAATAAAGTGTAATCTCTTCCAATGAATGCGCAGAGCTCTTATTGTAATGAACAGAACCCTTATCTGTCACCCCCACCATCAGGTTGATGCTGATGTGTATTGGGAGGGGTAAGGAAAGGAGAAAATTTCCCTGGCTTGTTCCAGAAACTGTCTTGTCTGGTATTGGGATTACCCGTGTTTAAGAAACATGCCAGATCAGTAGTGAGGGGCGATTACACTTGTTCAACCTAGGCTTCTCTCCAAGTATAACGTGTTACCTAATGCAAGATTCTCTGAAGTCTGTAAATATACAAAGAACCTTTGTTGTGAGCACTTAATGGTTCTTAGCAACAGTTTGCAAGTTTCTCTAAGTGAGGTGTAAATCAAACTCTGTATTAAAATAGGTGTGGGCAGAACTGCCATGTTCTATGCATTAATCTTTTTTTCTATAGCTAAGTAGTACAATGCCTCTCTGGCTTCCCTGATCAAACAGATTCCTCTTACCTTGGGTCAGGGTCTGAACAAAGCCGACAAGATCCCCTCCCTTTTCACTCACAATGAAAACATGGTGGCCAATGTCAGTGAAGTCCAGTCTATCATCAAATTTCAAATGAAAAAGGTAAACAATAAATGCAAAACACCAGACCCCAGAAGTCAGTTACACAGCATGTGATGGGAGTCAGGACTGTAATGAAGTTATTGGCTGCCTGCCATTATACATGGATTTGCACAGTCAGGGCTGGACTGCAGTTTTCCTCCAGTGTTGTTAAGGCGGCTGCTAGTGGAAAATATCTAGTCAATCTCAGTTTGTGTGTTTAGGGAACACAAAGCATTCAGATGCTAACCTGAGGATGGAGGGAATTTACAATTTGTTTTAAACTACAGATGCAAATTAAGGGGCCTGAACTTGGAAAATGCTGAGGGCTCTTGGTGCTCACTGAAGTCAGTGGGAATTAAGGACATGCGCAGCACCTGGCATGATTGGCTCCTGTAGTCAGGGAGGATCAAGTGGCCAAGATTCAGTTAGCCAGGAATTAGGATAATAGGTTTGCATTATATAGACTGATGTATGTAGTAGCTGAAGCTTTATGCTTAATACTGTGTAAATGAACTTCACAGTCTTACAGGTGAAACAGTGAGTTTCGAGTAGTGTTTTCTTGTATTTGCTTTAAAAGTTTAACTTTCAAGAAAGTTAATATAGAGGATGGAACCAGAGTTTTAAATGAACACAGTCCTAATTCAAATGCTTAATCTTCATGTCTGGCATCATGATGCTCGAAACCTGACTCATAGCAAATATTGCTTGACTGAGTATTCGCCATCAAGCTTAATTGGCCACTTGATTTAAAAACAACTTGAATGAACCAAGAGCAAAAGTGGTAGTCTTTGAACATATCAATCTTTCACTTAAACAGCTTGAGCTACTGAATTCCTGACACTGCAGCATTGATCTATTATTTCCTTTTAAACTTTCCTTCAGTCTATAATCTGGCTATATATCATAGATTTGAGCAAATTTGGTACCCAGGGTGTGGTGTTTACAGAATGAAAAGCAAAGCTTGGTGGCTGAGATGCAAAAAAGCAGAAATTAATAGGATCCTAATGATTTTTCTAATATGAAAAATATAAACAAAACAGATTATTGTAAAACAAATATTCTGTGCAGCATGGATTAGTGATTTTGTGGAATCTGTTGGTTGGGGAGGAGAGATTTATCATTAGAAATTTTACTGCATAGTGTAGGGGGGAGAGTGTATTGGATTGGGTATTGATAAATTTCAGTTCTCTTCCCTGGTCTGCCATTGATCTTGTGGTGTAGAGCAAGTCACTTAATCTTTGCCTCAAGTTTTTGATCTACAAAACAAGAACAATTATACTCACAACCTTTTTTAAAGTACTTTGAGATCTGCTAATAAAAAGTACTGTATAATCAGCGGACTAGTTTCATCATCAACAAAGATTGCTCCCAGTTTTTTAGCATGCATGTTTAGTTACAGCACGTGGAAGCCAGTGGCAAAGTTATGTCTGTTTTTTGATAAAGGAACTGAAAAAATTAGGTTGAACTTGGTCGAATGTAAAGCTGTTCAGATCTAAATTCCACAAATGGTGCATTTAATGGAGTCTTCAAGTATCAAACTCTGGAAACTTTGGAATTCCATAAAGCATTTCCAGGCTGTAGAGGAATTGTTATAATTGGGGAAACATTTTATCTTTTTAAAAAAGATTTATGGGGAGACTCAATTGCAGCCTACAGACGGATTCCAAAGATTTAAATCAGCCCCTTAATCTAATTATGTACATATTTTGATGACTGAATCTACTTAAGCTATTGTATGGTTGTCTTTAAACTGACTGTACTATAAAGTCTGTACCACTGGAGTTGAATGACGACATTGTCCTTCTCCCTACCCCAGGTGCTTTGTCTGGCAGTGGCTGTTGGCCATGTAAAAATGACTGAAGATGAGCTAGTCTACAACTTTCACCTGGCCATCAACTTCCTGGTGTTCTTGCTGAAGAACTGTCAGAATGTGCATGTTGTACATCAAGAGCACCATGGGAAAACCACAGCGCCTCTACTAAACTGGCAGTAATAAATGTTTCAGAGCACCCAGTCACTCTGCGTCTGTGTCTCCTCATCCGCAGAGCTTTCAGTCGTGTTAGGACTCTTGTTCCCAATCATTTTGAGTAACTGTCTCATTCTATGAGACTGAGACCTCTGCTGTACCTTGCCATTGTCAGTCCCCTCCTGCGTACTTGTTTGTAACTTAACCTATGTTGGAGCTGCTTGTGATTCAGAATTTTAGAGCAGTGATTCTCACCCCAGGGATGCACATACCCCTGGTTATGTAGAGGTCTTCCGGGTGTACGTTAACTCATCTAGCTATTTCCTTAGTGTTACGACAGGTTACATGAAATGCACTAGCCAAGTCAATACAAACTAAACTTACATACAGACAATGACTTGTTTATATTGTTCTGTGTACTTACATTTCAGTGTATAATATATAATTATATGGTAAAAATCAGAGTAAGCAATTTTTCTGTAATAGTCTGCTGTAACACCTTTTTCTATTTTTTTCTGACTTTGTAAGCAAGTAGTTTTTAAGTGAGGTGAAACTTGGGGCTACACAAGACAAATCAGCCTCCTGAAAGGGGTATACAGTAGTCTGGAAAGGTTGAGAACCACTGTGTTAGAGCAACCTATATGCCATTGAGAGCATACCTAAAGTTAAATGAGGAGCAGCCGCAGTTAAATGACGGGGATCAGCAGGGAAGCTTCTCATAAAGATGAGCTGCGAAGCCAGATGAATTGAACAGATTCCCATCCTGAAGACTCTCACTAGCCAGTCAGGAGCCTTCAACATGGAAAGATTTCTTTGATGAAACCTTCTTTTTTAAGTCCTTCTTAGAATATGATGTCTTCACAGAATTTTATAAACCCCGCAGCCCCCCTGCCACCCAATCAGTTTTACAATCCAGCCAGGAATGTGTTTAGGTTTTTTTTTTTTTTTTTTAAAGCATAAACGCCAAAGAGTAGTAATAGTTCTCCCACTACGAGAAAGAGACCAAGTGACCTTCTCCATTGGATCATATGAACTGGAACCATAAACTCCCTGAACATTAAATCTCACCAAATGAGGGTCAATCCATCTTCATCATCATATCCACTCATTATTATCCACACCCGAACATAGCCACTTTATGAACTTCATACCCTCATATCTCAATGTCTGTACTTTGACCCATCAACTTTTTACCCCCAATCGGGGATATTGCAGATTATGTATTCCTCATGCCACCTTATCTTAAACCAAACTTTGCCCCCTTGATAATCTGTATGTTATTCCCTGGTAACCAGAAACTTCTATGCTCAAACTCTGTTCACTATATTTTTCTTTAACATCTTAATAAAATTTTTAAATCTGTTTGTATAGCTCAGCAAAGCCTTAGCATGGATAGACCCATAACTGGCCTTTATCTTGAAAATACTGAGAAGTAGGCGCAGGGTTGAATTAATGGTATGGTTCATAGTCACCATGAAGAGAAATATTAAATCTGTCTGAATTTTGTTGTCTTCTGATAACACTTATGACAAAATTCTTAAGATATTAAAAGGGAAAATATTTCTCTATTTTTCAGTTGGTTTACTTCATATATTTGACAATGTGTATAGTCAGTTTCCTCTTGTGGGTCTACGTTACAGTAAGATTGAGAGAAACTTCCTAAAAGAGTGTGATTGTAAAATCTCAAATTTGCGAAGGGTCTGAAACTACTTCTAACTAACCTCTTGGAAAAGACATGAATTTGACTGTCCCTCTAATGGAAATATACATAGCAGGTTATGTTCCCTTCCCAGGGAAAGCTCAGTGGGAGTGGCAAACACATCAGTGTGCCTGTGTGAAACGGGGAGGTACCTCATTGTTATAGAAGAAAGAAAAAATGCTTGGAAAGCGGTTTTACTGTACTTCCTTCTAAAAGGATAAAGAAATAAGGTTTAAATACAGTAAAATCAATGCTCACTGTTAGTGGAGTTTCAAACCACATGGACTAGTCTTGGCAGAGATTTTCTGCTTCATTGAAATCCTCCCATGGTGTCATTGCTCTTTTAATGCTTTTTAGCGGGTTTCTGGGTTACTAGGGATCACTGGATATATTTGAATTCAAAACTGCACCTCCAATTTCACTGGCCTGTCACCTGCTTTGTTCCAAGGAAAAAACATGCAGAAAATCCATGTCTGTGGATGATTTGAAACAACTTTACCTTTCTAATGAGCTCAGTACGAGAGAGAGATGGCAGGTAGCCCTGCACTGTATATCCACAGAGAACAGGACCAGAAGGGCTAGTCAAAGAAGATTCCCCTCAGCTGGCTCTGCCAGTATGTTTGAACTTTGGAGGAGACCTCATGTACAGATGGCAAAAGTCAGTTGGACTCACTCTTTCACCTTGGCTGAGACTGCTAACAATGGGGTTAATTACTCAAGACTTTCAGTGGCTTTTATAATGGCACCTGTTTACTTGAAACTTGACTTAACACAATTCCGCAGGCTACTGAGCAACAGTTAGTTTTTGAGAACCTGATCCCTACCAACCGGTACTTTGGAATAAGGTGAGTAGAAACCCACAGGTGAAATCTTCATGTTCTATTACCAAGTCCCTGAGCCATCCCCTTTCCTGGGATCTGTACTCTGCTTTCTCTGTTCAGCAGGTCACTAATAAATCTTCACCTTCGTTTCCAGAATGTACTGAGGCACCATCGAGGGAACAAAATGCCTTATTCACTTTTTGGCTTTCAGGGGGAGAATCACTGTTTGCCAAACACGTGCAAAAAAGAGAGATTAAGCTTTCCAGATGGATGGTAACATTCTCAGGAGTGTGTCTCTAACTTTACAAGAGTTAGTGAGCAGGATGTACAGCACCATGCTGACAGAGGGAGGAGGTACCCGCTATGCAGCTCTCTACTGCTGATATACAGGTAATTCCTTTATTTTAAAAGGACAGACATCAGATCCTGCTTAGTAATGTTTACTCCAATCTCCTGGAGCCAAAACAGTATGCCTTCTAATAAGAGTTATGTGATAGCTTCAGAAATCCTTTAGTGGCTTAAATGGGCAGCTAGTGGCCTGAACTGAGCCACTAACATCCTATGAGCTTTTCATGCTCAAAGAAAACATGGCAATAGCAGTGGTGAGCTGTCTCCCATGGTGACTTGGGGATTATCTTTAGGCAAGGTAAAAGCCTGGCAGGGTTCAGTCATCACCTTGACACAGTTAACCTAGTGTGCCACTGCCTATTGTTCCTGTAGGGCTTTTTAATTGTAGCCTAGAAAAAGGATATAGGACTACAACTGTGGCCGGTGATCCTGTCTTCGCACCAAAGGGTTAAAGGTTTTAGCTCCATTATACTGGCCAAACTTGAATTTGGGTGTTCACATTCTGTCTACCTCAATTCCCCCTTCGTTTTAGACCGTATTGGTCACTTCCTGCTCCATCCTATTCCACCCTGGCAGTGGCGGCTTTTCAGTGGCAAGCAGTCACTCAGGTATGCTTTATGTTCAGGTTTTGTGTCAGAATTGTGTGGCATCTGCAGTCGTGTGAAATCAGGTGGAGCTGAGATGTTTTGATGAAGTTTGAGCTGAGATTTTGTTCAGGCCTGAAATTCCAAGCAAGAGCAAAGAGAATGGGTACATTTCCTATGGCTTTGCTAGGAACCTTCTTAATCTTAAAATTCTCTCTCATCCTGGCTGCTTGTTTTATGGGTGCTGTTGCTGAAAGTGTGACGGGTAATAGATAGTTACCAGCTGGGGAAGTTGGGGCCATGGTGAGGTGCATTGGCTTGTTTCTTGCTTATTGCTGAGCCATGCCCTCCGCACAGACCTAACCAATCATGCCTGCAGCATCAGCAGCCACTGTCATCTGAGCAGCTTGCTTTGCAAGCAAAAGACTGGATAATCCCCCATCATCTCAGTTGTTCCTGTTTGAAAGCAGGTTAAGGAAGCTTTGGAGGGAGCCTGGAAAGATGACTGTAGTAGGCTGCATCGGTTAAGGGGGTGGTAGATCTCACAGCAGAGCACAAGGCGTGTAAGCCCAGAATCCAGAGAAAGCGGCTGCTGCTCGCGTCTGAGGGAGCCTGTGGAAGTCTTCTATCAGGTTATTACTTTGTCTCTCAGTTAATGATGCTTAGCTGGAATGTCTGTCTGCATGGGGTGCTTTAATGCTTTCATTTGGTGCAGGCTATGTTATGTCTAGATTTAAAGCAAGGTTTAAAGGGAAATCTTTATTACCAGACCAAAAGCATTGAGAGAGCAGAGTACAGAGGCTTGGTCTATAAGGTCTCAGCCGGCCAGCAGGGCTGGTACTGATCAAGCAGGAACATCTCTTGTTAATTTCAATGCTGGGCTTTGTAAATCCTCAGAGGCAGCTAGAGCAAATGCCCCCTTCATGCCCACACCACACTGATTACTAGGTTGTAAGCTTGGGGACAGGGTTTGTGTCTTTGTGTCTGATGCACCTTCTAGGTGCTGCAAAAATAACATTTGACCCTTCCAGCAGGGCCAGCAACTCAACTCATGGATGCAGCATGGTACTGGGGAGTTCATGTTCTGCTTTAACAGGCATACAGTTAAAAAAGCAATTAATGTGCATTAACCTGGGCTCTCCCCTTTTGGCGTCTTGCTCACAACTAGGGGCCCCTTACGCGAACAGTTTGGGTAAGGCCTGATCCAACAACCTTAATAGCAAAGGTGCTCTCTCTGGGCGTTGGACTGCATGGAACAGAAACCCCCCCGGATGGGTTTGCTCAGGAGTCAATAGGTTAAAGTGTGGGAATGTTTGGCCTCTTGCCCTCCAATATGGGGGGGTGTCTGCACACCCCTGTGGTATTGGGGTGTGTGGGGTGGCAGGCTCTCATGCCAGGTCCCTTTGCTGCTCTGAGCCCTGTGGAAGCAACAGCTGGAGGCAGCAGTGCCAGTGGGGAGTGGGGGGGAGGGAGGGAGGATGGAAGGGAGGCTGTCTCTACTCACAGCTGGAGGAGAGAAGCTCTCAAGTACTGCAGTGGGTATCCTATCTTGTGTTTGTGGCAGTTATCCATGCAAATTTCTGATCGGCCCAAAGTGGTCGCCAGTAGCAATGAGTTCCACAGCACTGTACATTGAAGAAAAAGCCACGGTCTATAGGAAGGTGTCCTATTTACTTTCCCCAAACCATCTATTTTATATCTTTTGGTCATGTCCCCTCTTTTCTATCTGAAAAGCCTGACCCTTCAGTTTAATCTCTCCATGCTGGTGTATCTCTCATTGATGTTACCCTTAGCTGACCTCCTATTTCTGTCTAATTCTTTAAGATTATCTATTTACTTGTTGCTCTTACTCCACGTTGGATCATGAAAACAAGCCCTTCTCACTTTCGTGCCCTAGTATGTACTGTTTTGGTTGCAACTTCTAAGGAAGTGAATATTTAATTTTGTTATGTAAATAAAATTGTACTAGACCCTTTTTTGGCTAAATCTTACCTTTTGTGTCCAACCTATCTCACTGTGTTGCTAATGGATTAGAGAAGACAGAGTTCAGCGGAGAGGGAGCCAGACGGATGGTCTGGACTCCTGGGTTCTGTTCTCTAGTTTTGTTACTGACTCCTCAGTAATTGACTTGATCTCTCTGTACTGCCATTTCTCCATTTTAAAATGGGGATAGTGATATTGACCAACCTTTGGAAAGAGCTTTAAAACAGCCAGGCACTAGATTTTAAAGATGGATGTTTAATGCCCATGCATAGAAGCCAACTGGAAAATGCTGAGAGCTACGGGTAAAACTCACTACACAGGTGTTAAAGTAACAGAGGGGTAGCAGTGTTAGTCTGAATCTGTAAAAAGCAACAGAGGGTCCTGTGGCACCTTTAAGACTAACAGAAGTATTGGAGCATAAGCTTTTGTGGGTGAATGCCCACTTCATCAGACGCAAGTAATGGAAATTTCCAGAGGCAGGTATAAATCACTATGGAGATAACTAGGTTAGTTCAATTAGGGAGGGTGAGGTGCTCTGCTAGCAGTTGAGGTGTGAACACCAAGGGAGGAGAAACTGCTTCTGTAGTTAGCTAGCCATTCACAGTCTTTGTTTAATCCCGATCTGATGGTGTCAAATTTGCAAATGAATTGGAGCTCAGCAGTTTCTCTTTGGAGTCTGGTCCTGAAGTTTTTTTGCTGCAAGATGGCTACCTTTACATCTGCTATTGTGTGGCCGGGGAGGTTGAAGTGTTCTCCTACAGGTTTTTGTATATTGCCATTCCTGATATCTGACTTGTGTCCATTTCTCCTCTTGGGTAGTGACTGTCCAGTTTGGCCAATGTACATAGCAGAGGGGCATTGCTGGCACATGATGGCATATATAACATTGGTGGGCATGTAGGTGAATGAGCCGGTGATGTTGTAGCTGATCTGGTTATGTCCTGTAGTAGTGTTGCTGGTGTAGATATGTAGGCAGAGTTGGCATCGAGGTTTGTTGCATGGGTTGGTTCCTGAGTTACAGTTGTTACGGTGCGGTGCGTGGTTGTTGGTGAGAATATGCTTAAGGTTGGCGGGTTGTCTGTGGGCGAGGACTGGCGTGCCTCCCAAGGTCTGTGAAAGTGAGGGATCATTGTCCAGGATGGGTTGTAGATCACTGATGATGCGTTGGAGAGGTTTAAGCTGAGGACTGTAGGTGATGGCCAGTGGAGTTCTGTTGGTTTCTTTTTTGGGCCTGTCTTGTAGCAGGAGGCTTCTGGGTACACGTCTGGCTCTGTTGATTTGTTTCTTTATTTCCTTGTGTGGTTATCGTAGTTTTGAGAATGCTTGGTGAAGAACTTGTAGATGTTGGTCTCTGTCTGAGGGGTTGGAGCAGATGCGGTTGTACCTCAGCGCTTGGCTGTAGACGATGGATCGTGTGGTGTGTCCGGGGTGGAAGCTGGAGGCATGAAGGTAGGCGTAAGGGTCAGTGGGTTTTCGGTATAGGGTGGTGGTAACGTGGCCATCACTTATTTGTACTGTGGTGTCTAGGAAGTGGCCCTCCCATGTAGATTGGTCCAGGCTGAGGTTGATGGTGGGGTGGAAGCTGTTGAAATCATGGTGGAATTCTTCCAGGGTCTCCTTCCCATGGGTCCAGATGATGAAGATGTCATCAATGTAGCGTAGGTAGAGAAGGGGCGTG